TCTTAACCGGCGCTGTCGCTGTAGCAGGTTGCGATGCAAAATCCCGCAGTCTCACGCTTTCAGCCTGCCTCGTGTTGGTGCCTGAACGCTCAAGGGATGCAAAGTTTCTAAAGCACATAGACCCGCTCACAGCAGTTTTGGGGACGTCCCCTGTAGACGAAGTCACCGATGCAAAATCGGCCAGCCTTATCGACCCATCTGTGCTCACGTGCGATCGCTTTCCACCGCCCTGTGGCCTTGTGCCTTGGTGTGGAGTGGCCCAGAACATCAGCCCATCAAGAACATCACCGTCAATCCACTCATAATGACCCACCTGGTCATCGTAAAACAAGCAGATGGCTCGTCCCTTGCCCCCATGAGTGAAGGATTACACCTCGCCCTTGGTGTCCAGGACATAGATGTCCCGGCGGAGCGCGTGACTTGCTGCGTGCAATTCCAAGTAACAGCACCAAGTACCTCATATTTTGAACCCATCAATGTAATCCTGGAATGCACCTTTCCAATCCCCGGCGTCTTGTTTGTTCTTGGCCCCAGGCTTGACACCATCCCAAAGGGCCTCGTACTCTTCAAAATGCCTGGTGTAAAAGGTTGCCAGGAAAGCACGCACCGAACGCCCCGAAGCCTTGTCCTCAGGAGCGTAACGCTGAAGCGCATCAGCGATGGCAAGCATCATGCAATCGCCCTCTCCTGTGTTGGGGGCTTCTCCTCCTCCTTCTCCTTCGCCTGCATTGTCAGATCCCCTGCAGCATCCTTCTGAGCGGCATCCGGAGTGGTGCGCTTGTCACGACGCAATGAAGGAACAGACTTGAAGGAAACCGCCGTTTCCCCCGGAAGTGCTCTGGAGGAAATGTGCTGCTGCCTACTGCGCGCCTCCGTGATGAGATCAATCTCGTGGGTCTCACCTGTGGCATCCTGGAGACTAGGCTGGAACAGCTCTGCATCACTCGGAGCTACAGCACGCACGATCCAATCTGTAGTCTCGTTGCGGTGCAACTTCTGAACCACCTCTGCGTGCCGGAAACAGACTCGAAAATCTCAACTAGTAGTAGTAGTAGTAGTAG